GGTATATGGAGAGAAAGGCCGGGCTATTGAAGTATATACTGTGTTAGGGCTGATAGTTGTTGTATATATCCATTAAATTTTGTATTCTCTCTCTCTCTCTCTCTCTCTCTCGCATCTAATACTCTCTTCTATGCCATCAAAATCGTCGTACTTTTATATTCACTTACATCTGATATGACAGACAAAAACTCATTGTTATATTCAATTTAATATTTCCATTCAATGTGCTGATTATATATTTCAGCTAATTAAAAGTATTTAATTAAAAAACATATGAAAATTTCATGTTTTTATAAAAATTTAGGCTAAAGTTTCAATATTTAGCCTAAATGAAAGATTCATTTGAATATTTCACTAAAATTTTCATCCCTACATATATTATAATAAAATTACAGTTTGCTTAAAAATAGAGAGTATACCTGTGCAAAAATATATGAATAATTGCAGCTTATTTACTCATAATGATTTATAAACATAGTACGTTGTAAATGAAAACCAAATATAAAATTTATTATATAACTATTGTTATTATATTCTCTAGTTATTTGAATTAATTTGAAATATTGATTAATTATAAGTACAATGATTTAAATTAATTCAATTTGACCGTGCTAATCACAATAAATTTATTCAACCAAACTGATTTTCTATTTATATAAAAAAATCTATATTTATAAATTAATTTTATTTTATAATATAATTAAAAATATTACAATTTTGTTGTATTCCCCATTATTAAATCACAGAAGATTGGAATAATATACAAAAAACTTTTTACCATATTAATTACAGTTTATTTTAAAAAAATCGTTGCATTAAATTAACAATACAACCCAATTTTTGGCAAATATTAAAATTTTTATTTACCAAGAAGTGTCTGGGTCAACTTTTTATTAAATATAAATTAGTTTTTATAACAGTTAATTAACCAATAATATAAAAATGCAATAAATTTATCAACTTTTTGTAAATCATTAAAGGTCGCTTTTTGAAAAATTACTTCTATCATTTTACATTGCATGCTTATAAGCATCTAACATTAATAAATAACATTTAAATTACTAAATTCGATTTATTATAAATAATTTTGCAATAATTAACATATTCTATATTTATGCTAAAAATTTAAATTATATCTTAAAAATTCTTTCACGGAAACAGTCTATTGCAAAATAGTTACAGATATTTAGTTACATATATAATAATAGTTTAAATCAGAGTTCAAAAATTTAAATATAATTATGATATAATTATAATAATAAATTCATACATTCCTAACTAGTGTTAAAGTAATAATATAGTTATTATTTAATTATAACAAACAAAAATTAAAGTTTGGAGCTAACTGAACCCAATATTACTTTATAATTAATTGGCATATTTATGAAAAATAACAGTTAAAATATTAATTACAGTTTGTTTTATTAAATACAGTCATAATTAAATTTTCACTTATTTATGAAACACTAAATAAAATTAAATAGTATTTAAGAGTATGTCTCAAATAGTTTTAATTCAGTTGTTTAATTATAAATTATTTATTTTAGTGCCTATTATTCTGTAGAAAAATTATACAGATGATAAAATGTTTTTTATGAAGTATGTTAACAAAATTGGTTTTGGCCTTAAGACAAGATACAACTCACAATATCCATTATTTACCTAAAACAATTTAGAAAGTTAATAAAAGAATTATTTATTATGTTAATTACAGTTTACTTAAAACATTAGCGTTTAAATAATTGTGGGCGTTTTTTTAAACCTATCTGAATAATAATACACTTTAAAATTTAACAAACACTATATTTATAATATTAATTACAGTTTTTACAAAACAATTATTAATTCATCTAGCTACAAAACATTGAAATAATTAAAATACATTTATTATAAATAACCATTGGGTTTTAAAAATACTTATATGGAAATAATTTATTACAAAATAGTTACAGAGATATAGTTTCAAATATAATAATGGTTTAAATCAGAGCTCAACAATTTGAATTTAATAATAATAATTAACACATGTTAACTTTGAACTAATGTTAAAGTAATAAAATACATTCAATTAATTTATTTGTGCTTAATGTATTTAATTAAACTATAACAAAACAAAACGATACATTGCTTTGCGCCAATAAAACATTGTAAACGATTTGACATTTATCAAAAATAACAGTTAAAATATTAATTACAGTTTGATTTATTAAATATAGTCATAATTAAATTTTGGCAATTTATGAAACACTAAATAAGTTTAAATAATATTAACCAATATGTCCCAAATAGTTTTAATTTAGTTGTTTAACTTTAAATAATTATAGTGCATACTAGTATTTATATAAATTATAGAGGTGATGAAATTTTGTTAATAAATTATAATAATAATAATAATAATATAACTTCTTTACCATAAATCTTTACAATACAAATTAATCAAATAATAATCATTATAAAAATAATTTTGGGTTATTTCGATGCCCCAACATAATAATAATACTGTTTACGATTTAACAAAAACAATATTCATAATATTAATTACAGTTTTAACAAACCATAATTATTCTACCATCTAGCTACAAAACACTGCCTTAGACCAAATCGACGAGCTTTTCAAACTGGACACCATGCAACTGGAGCTGGTAACCCGACTGCGGCAAACAGCCCTGGGTGCCGACCACGAGCGATTGGACGAGTACGGCGACCAATTCACGGAATACTGCGAACGGGCGCAGGAGGTGTGTCGGCTCCTACACCACACCTCCACCACCGAAACCACACAAATCACGTCCAAACAGTTGGAGCACTCGTTGGAAGTGTACGGCCAGCAGCTGATAGCCGCGTGTCATACCCTTGCGGTGCACTCCAATAGCAAGATTGCCAAAGAGAACCTGGATGTTTTTGCCGACGTATGGCACTTATTAACCGCCGACCTGGCTCAGTTGGCCCGGGAGGTATCCGAGTTGGTCAGGGGCTGTCCCCAGTTGGAGAACTCGGTGTATTTGCCGCAGCAACGAATGGGCGGACTGATGGGCGCTCCCGGCCAGATGGTTGCCCAGGGTAATCAAATGATGGTGAAATCGACCCAGCCGTTCGGGGCCAGTCACATGACCAATCAGATGGTGTCCGGCGGTGGTCCGGGCGGTGGTTCCCCGGTAGTGATGGGACCGGGAGGTCAGCAAATGGTCGGACAACAGGGGTTGGTTAAGGGAAACCCCGGGAATCCCCGGTATTCGGACGACGAGCTGAAGGGCGGCGCCGGCGGTGTTAAGTCGGACGACACGGATATGGGCACCGATGAGGGCAAGGGTTACGGTTCGGGCACCGACTCGGAAGATAACGATATCGCCCGTAAGGCCAAATCGATGGCAGCGATGGCCGCGTCCATGTTTCAGTTCACCAGGGGCGAGGGCGAGCTGAAAACCACCCAGGACCTGTTCACCCAGGCCGAGTTTTTTGCCGACGAGGCCAACAAACTTTATAAAATTGTCCGCCATTTTACCTATCAGGTTTGTGTTTTTTAATTTGTTTTTTTGCTTAAGTTAGGTTGTTTGTGTGTTGGTGTTTAATTAGTAACTTATTTAGATATTAATCGTATTAACCAATTCAGTATTGAGTTGTGTTTACGTACTGTAAATCAATGCGATTTATTGTTGAAATTTAATTATGTCCATTTTCAATAGTTTAAATTGGTAACTCAATTCAAGCAACTGTCTAATAAAATATGATTTAGATTAAACCGAATAATAAATTCTGTATAAACAAATTTTTTTATTAACTAAAAATCTAGATTACATTCATTGACTCTAGTTATTTAAAATTGTTTAATCGTGTTTGTACTAGGTTAATATGATTTAAAATGTGGGAATTTTTTAATGTAACAAATTCTTATAGCAAACTCTATAGACTGTAAATTAATATTATAAAACAATAAGATTAATATAACAACATTTAAAATATTTTTAAATTGGAGTATTTTGTCGTCACCCATAATACAAAAAGTTATAAATTATTAAATTCATGATTATTTTTGTTGCAAGAAATAAAGTTTTACATTAATCACAAAATCATTAATATTTATATAACAAAATTAAAATCAAAACCAAAAACCACACAATCGATAGAAATATAACTTTATTATTAATATCTGTCACAATATTTATTGATTTTTTGGGCTAAATATCTCCATCAGTGAGAGAAATATGAATTACATAAGTATATCGTTATTATTATTATTGCAACTATTATTATAGGGTATTATTAATAGTCAAGTGCTTTGATAAGCAGGCAATATATATCAAATCGTGGTGTGAATTGCTAAATAGACATGGACACTTTTATGTGTGTATTATATAAGCTCCAGTATTATAAATATTGTGATATATCGAGAGAGTATTAGATGCGAGAGAGAGAGAGAGAGAGAGAGAGAATACAAAATTTAATGGATATATACAACAACTATCAGCCCTAACACAGTATATACTTCAATAGCCCGGCCTTTCTCTCCATATACCAGTGCTAATGACGTTAGTATTCTCATTGAATAATACAGTATACAGTTATATACAGGACTGAAAACAGGCAACAAAACAAAAAATGATAATATATAACACACTTTGTGTCAGAAAAATTTTATCGCAAGAATTTTTGTATTGAGTTATGTCTAGAGAAAAAAATGTTATACAAGTTTTATGATTGCAATATTAACAGAATATTCTGTAGTTTTGTTTACAACACAGAATTCATATCGGATTCGGTTCAAATGCACTTATCGTTGCATTCATTGGGCACTCTCTCTCTCTCTCTCTCTCTCTCTCTCTCTCTCTTCATCTCTCTCTTAAACGTATATAGAAACTTAACACATGGTAACATTAGACATACAAATCACATCCACACAGAAAAAGTTAATCAAAATTGTTTAACACTTATATTGCACTAAACAACTGGTGTTGTGATTGACAGTCAAACAAATTTTTACTTTTATGAAAGCGATTATTCTGTAGTTAATTCTGTTGGACAACCAATTCATACACAACAACAATACTTATACAATCTGTAATCGCTTTTGCCTACAGAATATTCTGTTAGTGAGTGCCTATATATAGCAGAGTATTATGTACTAAACATTTACTACACATTTACTATACATTTCTATATTTAATATATTATGTCAAACACTCTATTAAATTGAATATAACAATGAGTTTTTGTCTGTCATATCAGATGTAAGTGAATATAAAAGTACGACGATTTTGATGGCATAGAAGAGAGTATTAGATGCGAGAGAGAGAGAGAGAGAGAGAGAGAGATTACTTAAAGTTTTTACTTAACAATATTGATTATGATAAACCAAAATATTTTCATAAATGCAAACTGTAAAACAATTTGAATAAATATTCTACTTGATGATATTTATAATAATGATTTATTAATTGGTATATGGCTGAAGCAATGAGATTTACTGATATTCATTCTGAAAGTATCTGTATATTAATTTTGACATCATTTTATTATGATATATTGAATTCATATATAAAAATTGCAATTAAATAAATTAATATAATTTTAATGTTGAACAGAATTATTAAAATTTGAAATACATAAAATATAATTATGCTTATATATTTAATATAATTAAATCATTATATAAATTAATTAGTTTAACTTATTAATTATATTTATTTCATCTCAATAAATCAAATAAATTAGTCAATTCGCAAATAAAACCAATTAAAATTAAGCATATTAAACTTAATTTTCTATGATAACACAACATAAATAATATTAAATAGTTAACAAATAATTTTGTTTAACAAAACATGATTTATTAGCAGATATATTTATTTCACCATAATTTGCGTGAATATTAAATATTTAGACACTTTTTGTTTACTATTAATATATTCCGGATGTTAGCGAATGATGAAAAGTTAATTAAATCAAACATTTCCAATTTTACCTATCAAATTTGTCGGCACAAATATTTGCATAATTCAATTTCATGTATGATTTATGCGGTGTATTTAATCTTGTAGTTAAATAATTAAACCATGTATTTTTTGCTTAATATATAAATACGGAGTTAAATCTGGTATTGCATTTTAGTATAATGATAAAACTAAAATAATATTTTTAATTAATACTTACACAATAATTTATTTTACAATAAATTCATTTTGTAATGTAGAATTCTATAAGCTGTTATTAATTAATAAATAACATATGCAGTATAAAACAACATAAAAATAATTATTATTGGTTGACAATAACCCAGTTTAATTCATTTATTTTATCTATTAACATAGAATTCACAATAATTTATTATACATGTAAGATATTAAATTATAATAATACAAATTTATTACGAGTAGACAACAAAGTATCACCACGTTACAATTATTTTATTATTCTCATACAAAAATAGTAAATTTAATTACAAGAGTATACAAATTATTATAAAATTGTAATTGATGTAACTATGTTTAAATGTCTTTAAGGTTTAAAATAATATTTAAATATAATTTCTACCATAATTTAGATACCGTCGGGTCCACACAAGAAAGAGCTCTTGGACAATTTGGATAAAGTGCCCGCAAGTGTACAACAATTACAATTTGCAGTGAAAATTGTAACGGTTGGCAAAGCGGCCACTTTTACCAAGGTCGATAGCGTTGTCCAAAATGCCAGAAACTTAATGACCGTGATCACCCTGGTGGCTAGTAACGTTGCCAATTGTGCCAATAAAGTATATATGTTATATTATTTTGTTTAATCCTAGATTGATTGATATTTATACTTGCTTAAACTAATCAATTGTCATGACATTAATGAGCGTACATGGCAAATAATCAATAGTAATTTATTTTATCAAGAGCATTGATTTTTTAAATGCAAATAACAACTAGTTTATCGATTTTCTACGGCTTATATTTAATAATGCAATTTTCAAGAGCATACTTAAGCTTATTAGTTTGAAAAGTTTAATATTTAAATAACATTGCATGTGATTTATTATTGAATATTTAAAAATCGCTATTTATTTTAACGATACATTAATTTTAAATTAGATTTTTATTTAATGCAATGAGATAAAACGATTTTGTAAAAATAAATTAATAATTTATGTGCATAGTAAATTTTAAATTACCTAAAATAAATTTTATCAGCTTATATTGATATAACAAACTTTAGAAATAAGTTTTCAAATTAACTACATTAATTGCTAAATACACAACTAAATACTAACCTAAATAATCTAGTTGAAAGCAATCTAGCTAATGAATTAATTCTATATTAACTAGATAATCAATACTTGCGTAAGATATTGTGTTGGTAATTTGATTTTTTCCAAAAACTCATTTGTTTTTTTAGATACAATCGATAGACAATAGGATAATAATAGACACACAGAATGCAGATTATAATTAGCAGTGAATTCATGAATATAAAGGGCAAACAAACAGTGTATTTAAATATACACAAGGAGTTTATGTGCAATACACTAACGGGTAATGGATACCCCCAATGTGCACACACCCGGTGAACCCCCATGATATTTTGTAAATATTTTATTTTATTGTTTTAATTATTTTTAATTAACTCAATTATCCCTGTAAATCATGCATCTATAAATTAGTTTGCATACATTTAATATAGCCACTGAATAAATTAACTCATGGTAAAACAAATCACGTTTGAAAATTGCATTATGATATATTTAATTAGATAAACCCGATAAAATGTAAAACAATAGAGCTTGATAAAACAAATAATTATCATACAATAATTAAACAAAAAAAATAAATCAAAATAAAACTAACATTAATTTTTTTTAAAAACCACCATAGTCCAACGTGGATATACAGGGGGCGCTGCGAACGCGGTCGCGAACGCTGTCGCCATCGTTACGGTCGGACACCGAGATGTACTACGAGGGCAGCGGCGGGATGGGCATGAAAGGGGGTACGGCTACCTCTGACCCGGATATTTGACAGTTCGGAACGGGTCGCCGGGCCCTCAGACCACAGAGCGAAGGGGACGCGCGTCGCACTCGCGTGTCTTTTTTACTCTTTTAGGGTCAAAGTCCAGACGAGATTAAGCGATGAGTGGGACAGCTTTTGCGTGTAAACACCTCTAGTCGTGTTACAGAAATTCTCATAGCACATATCCCTACCCTGTACCTGATTTTATTAACGAGCTAGGTTAATAGTGAGTTATTTATGAGCATATCTTGTATTTAGTTGTTTATTTAATTGGTTGTGGAATTTTAATAGTATTACAGTGTTTATTTTTTTTATTAAAACATTTATGTAGTTGCATTTTTAATTTCAACCTATATTTTAATACACACGCAAAAGACTTAAAGTGTACCGCTCTCTCGAGAACCTCGTTCAGTGTACTCACTCGCTATTTAATAACATCGTAAATAGCGTTATTAATGCCGGTTGTCTATATGTCTTACGAGTATAAAGTATCCAGATCAGTTTGATTTTAAAATGAAACATAGGTATTATTTACAGCAAATTAAAAACAGATTTTTAGATTATTTTATCAAACATGTTAATTAATTTACAGAATATTCTGTTAATTTAATTAAGTAGTTATAATAATGATATTATGTTAGTAATTAAACATAATAATTTTTTTATAAAATAAATCTAGTCAGTTTACAATTGTAAGGCACGTACGACACTCAGCGATGGATTTTGACCCAGATTAAACTCCCGAGTTTAATCTTTTATGCTTTATGATTTTGTTGAGTTACCGTTTTCAATTGTAAATACATGTACATAAACATTATACATAAAACATAATGGAACATCTTTAATTACATTTAAATTATTGAGCATCAATCATAATTATAAACAGTACTTGTTCAATTCAAGTCTGTTTAAATTAGTTAGGTTATACTATATAAAATGAATGGTCTAACAATGTTAACTACATTAATTTTAAATTATATATACATATATCGATAATTAATAAACTATTTATAACTTTTACAATTGTAAATATATTTTTTGTCTGGATAACTTTAATTATACTTTAAATATACCATTTAATAATTAATAAATAATTTAATAATTATATGACATTCCGTGAAAACATAACAAACAATGTAAAACTACTACAAAAACATGTCAATTAATAGTATATATTATTTAATTAATTAAATAACTAATTAAATGAAGTAATAATCCATTAAATCAATAAAATTCTGGCCAATTTTATTAATGTTATAAATTATAACTTATTATAAAGTAATTAATTAATATAATATATCAGATATTATCAGATAATTAAAATGGGATTATTTTACGGATTTTTAATTGCCATTAAAACTAATGTTGTTTTTTGAACTCTATTTAAGCCTTAAATAAATAATTAATAATAAATGTGTTTTTAATAATTTTCATACCATTAATGTAAATCAAAAACCTTTCCATACCTACAGACAAAATGGCATTTATTATAATAATTAATTAATTAATTAATTAAAAGACTGTTATATAACATCCTGTGCTTAGGTTACAGATATTTAATAATATTTTATAAATAAAAGTATTACTGAATTATAATTTAAATTTTCTACCTGTTTGCTTTAACAATACACTTCTAAGCTAATTAAAAATGTACATAAAATACGGACACAATATTTGATATGTGGTGTGAATTAAATAAAATTACAAATAAATTAATACCGGTATTAAATTATTGCCAAAAATTCAATGATATTACACAATAAACACGTATACATTATATAATGATTATGATAATAATACAAATTAAACTTCATAAAATATTTATGGTTAAAACGGTTAATAATAATTATTATATATAATATAACATAACAGTATATATATTATTAGTAATATTACTTTTAAAATTAATAGCAAAATTAACAAGATTATTATATTTGTTATTACGTATCATTGTAGAATTTTCAAAAGTATAATATTATAACTAGGTAAATAATTAAAATTATATTAATTAAAACTGGCAGAGATGTTATGACTGAAATACAAACATCTAATTATTTTATTATTTAATATGCAAATTAAATAATTAATAGGTTACACTTGGTTATAAACTAATACTTATTATACAGTATAATAATAATAATAAATATATATTTTTATTTTCCAGAAATTTTGAACATGTTTTAATTCACATTATAATTTAATTAAAATAACAAATTAAACAAATGTGTTAAATATAACGACTAATTAAAAACATAATTATATTACAATCAACTATTACATTAAATATTTATAGTAACTATTTAAACAAAAAAACAATATTAAATAATTTGTTTGTATTTTATTTATACGATTTATT